GAAACTATCAGCCTTTATTCATTTGATTTATATTATATTTTTAGATGTCTGATAGGAAGGCAGTTGTTAAAAATGCTGACATGTCTGAGGACATGCAGTCAGATGCTATAGAGTGTGCCACACAGGCCATGGAAAAGTTCAACATTGAGAAAGACATAGCAGCGTACATCAAGAAAGAGTTTGACAAGAAGTACAACCCTACTTGGCACTGTATAGTTGGGAGGAACTTTGGTTCCTATGTCACCCATGAAACAAAGCATTTCATCTACTTCTACCTTGGACAGGTTGCTGTTCTTCTGTTCAAATCTGGTTGAACATTGAATACCCTAACTGAAAGAGAGATTGTCCTTCGAGGAACATAGGGACTTAAAAATACATAACATAAATATCTGTTGTGTAAATATCTTTTTACTTTTATTTAATTGTTTTTGTAGGTAGCAAATACTAATATAAAGAAGTTTGGTGTGAGACATGTTTTGATATTACTTTATCCAAATTAAAGGCTTAACTAATATAATTTGTATATTTATAAGAGGAGAGTTCTCAACTTAACAAGGAATAAACCTATTTATCATTCTGTGTGTAACAGTTTATGTCCTGTGATTATTTCTGATTTCAGTTAAAAAGACTTTATAATTGGTTTTGTGAGCTGACCTTGGTCATCCAAGGTAGAAATAAAATGGGGCTTTTCACTTTCTCTTGACTTTGACAATAATTAAAACCCTATCTTTTTTCAAGTTTATATCTAGTTCAATATGAATTTAACTCTAGCTGAGTTGAGTAGTCTTTTTTTTTGCCATTTGACCCTAAATCAAAACTGGAATAACACAAACCTTTTTGAACTAGTTAATCATGAAAAAATTTTCATTTCCCCAGCTTGAGCTAGAGAATACTCTGGAATGTTTGGTGAGTGTACTGCCTGGTTTCACAAATACAGACCTTTCAGACCAAAAGAGGCCAATTTACAAATCCATTTTAGACCTGACTTCTAAAATCCAGACAAGCTCATGAAAGGGAATACCTTGTAATTTCAGATTTTAATCTCAATTCTGTGCACATATATTTTCTAGAAATAAGAAGTGGTGTGACTTTCAAGAACGTGGTTCAGGGTTCTAAGATGCAAATGATATGCTATATTTACAAATCCCAAACTGGGATTCTGTTGTTTTTTAGTTATTCAAGTGGAAACAAACTTGATTATAAAGGAATTCAGGAAACTTGCAGCTGAAAAATTCCAGTAACCCTTGAAATGTTACAATATTTATAATAGAAAAATTGAATAAACCTCATCGTCGCAACTTTTAACTTGACTTAAGTATGTAATTTGAGAATGTTATTAAGTGGAAATCGTGTTTCATTATTTCCTCTTATCTTATTATCATTATATATATCTTATTAACCAAGCACGAGGGCCGTACTGGGAGAATATCGGCCCGAGGTCTTGACAGTACGGACCGAGCGTAGGGAGGTCCGTACAAAAAAGACCGAGGGCCGATATTCTTCCAGTACGGTCCCGAGCAAGCTTGGTTAATAAGAGATTTATTACACGACTGAAGTTCAAAGGGACACAAGTGTGGTATCATTCAGGACCATTCGGGACAGTGCCCGGTCCAATACTTAGAGAATATTGGACCGGCAATAGAGCATTTTGATTGGTTGATTTTAGTTATTGACCCTCTGACTGCCCGAGTCGTGTAATAAAATACTTTCTTAGTCCAAAGGGGCAATCTGCATCTAATAGCAGGAGCCACTGACCGAGCACTTAACAGCGGTGGAAAATTATTTGAAAACATCCTCAATTCGTGGCTCAGAGATGGAGCAATTTCCACTCGAAACGTTTCAGAGTCAAACGCGGAGAGCACCGGTAATTGGACAAAATGTTGATAACTAATGAACAACTCAGAGAAGACAGAATTCTGGGTCTGTCGGGGCAGGTCGCCAGGTATAGTTTCAATCGAATTCTTCTCTTCTCCGCTTTTTACTCCACATAAATTGCATATTTCATGTACACACGGACCACAGTCTTACGCTGTTATGTGAGTATTTACAAATCCAAACGAAAGGGGAAGGTTGGGTTTTTGCTCCTCGTCAAGTTGACTGTTTCGATCTTTCATACTAAAAAAAAAGATTAAAAATTTAAAAAAATATGTAGTAACGGTCGGTCGTGGATTCAAATTCGAATAAAATTAGTTTTGAGTTATTTTCCAGGATGAGGACTCTCCTGGTCTGCTTATCTGTAACAGGCGAAGTAACGCTTATTTATTGCATGACTATTTATATGATGCAAAAAACATGTCGCCCGATCACGCAAACGGGGGCATTTCTCGCAATGCACCCTGGGTTGATATAGGCTACCGAAAAAAGCTACGGACATAACCCAATCAACACTACGCTTTGAAGCAAATTAGGTGTTCCGCGGCGTGGGTCTAAAACTCCAAGGAAGCAATGTTGTATTTGTTTGAGAAAGGTGTTTGATAAAGAGAATTTCGGTGGCGAAGATCTGTGATAGTTGCGGAAAACTGTTTTTAGACAGGGTAAGTTATCTAGTTCTTCTTTCCACCTCTTTCCTCGACTACCCCATAGGCGTGGTCATTGGGAAGGGTTCTGTGCGCGTGCAGAGTAAAACTAATTAGAACGTTTTTGGTTGCCGCAGATGACCGATCGAAAAGCAGTAATAAAAAATGCCGACATGTCCGAGGACATGCAGTCAGATGCTGTGGAGTGCGCCACACAGGCCATGGAAAAGTTCAACATTGAGAAAGACATAGCAGCGTACATCAAAAAAGAGTTTGACAAGAAGTACAACCCTACATGGCACTGTATTGTTGGGAGGAACTTTGGTTCCTATGTCACCCATGAAACGAAGCATTTCATCTACTTCTACCTTGGACAGGTAGCTGTTCTTCTGTTCAAATCTGGTTGATTTGACTCTAAAGATTATGAAAGGATCGCTGGACGTCCATAGAAAATGCTTTATAGAAACTTACAACTTTAGAGTTTGTACAAAGTGAAGGTTGCTATGTTGTATTAAATCTTATCACCATAACAGTACACTGATATATAATCCCACTAGACACACCTTTGCAAGTTTTGCCTTACAGCAGATAATTATACGCTATACTATCAATACAAGCTCTAAGAATATTATTCCAAGAGAGAAGATCCAATTTTCTCTTTTACTGCAAATCTTCTGTTCACCTATGGTTGCTATGCTTGGAATCTGGACTTTGAAATCGAATTTGCATTATTTCAAAAATAGTTTAGATGTAATAAATTGTTCTAAAGTTTACCCCGATGGTGTTATGGTTTGTCTTTTAAATACTTTTTTTTCAATCACCGCCATCTGAATTTTCTGGATTAGCCCCTGCTGCTCAGACATATGATTAACATCTTTCACATAATTTTGCTTCATTTGAAATGGTCATGCTGTAAAAAGACAAGTCAACAATGATAAAAAAGCATGATATTTATTCACAAATTCAGATTTCTTTTTACAGTTTAAAGCCCGAGTGAATGGCTGCTATTCCAAAGGTTAAGTTTTCATGAGTGACATGGCTAAATCCTGCATCTTGAATCAACCCTGCAAACTTTTCCTGGAAGAAATCACATGAAGTAGTCAGTGACACATTCCAACAATCAAAAGTGTCAACAGTTTCAAATTCCTCTGTTGAAAGTCAAATTCTGATCTTAGTGGAAAAAGCTCTCAAAGAGAGCATACCTATCATATAACTCTTCACTCCTGAGAAAAGAATTCAGAGGTAGAGGGCCAGGCAGCTAAGTAAAGAAAGTAACAAGCAAATATGCATGCAAGCACAAATGAAGCAAGTCTTTAAGTTAAACTTAGTTGCCCTGAAATGCTGTCTTTGAATCACACCCCCAAAGGAAGAGAGAGAGAGAGAGAGAGAGAGAGGAACCAGTAATGTATAAACCAGAAGATCTACTTGGATTTTCATAAAGAGCTGCATATGTGGAAATTTTTCTTCATTATGCATGAAAAATGTTCAACAAACTTTATTGGACAAACCTGATTAGGAAATTGTCTTATGCTTTCGACTAAATACTGGTAAGATTTCCAATCTCCAGCTATGATCTGCCCCATAACAGGTATCACATCAAAGGAATATTTCTCATAGGTACTGTTAAAAAATAACATTAAATCAGGCACCCAGGTAAGAAATATCAGACATGATTAAACAATCTATAACATGTGCAACTACTTATAGTTGATCACAGATTAGACTGGCATCTTATAATTCTCATTGCCTGTTAAAATATTGCAAAGCAATGTTTCAAGTTTATCACCAACCCCAAGATAACTTTCCCTAAATGTCAATACCCCTTGTGGTAAATGTGGTACACTCAAAAGCAAAAGGAAAGTTTGAAAATGTCGGCCTTCTGGTGGGAGCCACAACTGAACAAAAGCCATCACCTGACATGCCAAGGTGAAGTGTGGCTATAAGAAGGGTTGTTTAGAAGTCACATAGTCACCCGTTGATTTTGAAGCCCTCAAGTGTAATAAAGACAACAATTTGTTATTATGTTACCTGGATATAAGCTCATTTTTTACTTCACTGAATTCAAGACAAAGGAATCTTCCACCGGGAACAAGAACTCTGTGGGCCTCACTCAAAGCCTGGTGATGGAGAACAACAGAAAATACTATGAGCAGTACAAAAAAAGAAATAATTATCAAGGAAGTAACAGCTGATCATAAAGAATGTTGACCCTTGTGACAGTATTCCTGAAGAAGACTACTGTGGGCAACATTGAATGAAGATTTGGCTTTCTGAGCAGAAGATTTTTCATTGCTGTCAAGTGATGACTTCTGCCCAAACTGTCTAAAAGTCAGTTACTGTCACAAACAACACTCTTTATCGGGACACTTCACTCTCATCAAGGGGCAATGCTTGAAACATCAACTTCAAAATCTCTTTATGGTGGCCGGTAAATAATTAATATTGATTAGAATTTAAACAGTGCAAATTACATATTAAATGCATGATCAAATAAGCTTGCAAATTATTAACTCAGTTGATAAATCCAAATTACCTCTTTTTTTCAGGACTACCTAACCCTGGATTTTTAGACCAAATAATGAGAACAAAATACTACAACTGTTTCACAAATTTCAGAATAAACATTCAAAAGAAAAATGTATTGCTCCACTTATAATCCCCCCCCCAAAAAAAAAAAATAAAGAAAAACAGAACTGACAGTAACCTTATGAATTCTTGTAACATTTCGAATTCCAAATGCTATAGTATAGGCATCAACTGATGCAGTAGCGATTGGTAACTCTTCTGCATCACCTTCCACCCATGAGATCCCTGTGTGATAATGTTTAATAATTATTAAATCAAAGGCTCCAATTTAAGATATTATCTTTGTCTAGCACCAAGCTGTCAGGCAAAATTTTATTTTTTTCCTCTGAACTATGCAGGGTTGTCACTAAGCACCGGCTGCCAGTGAAAATCACTAGATGAAAAAGCAGTGATTCCTGGCTGGCAATTGCCTGGTAAAGCACAATGCGCACTTCTGAGGTTGCACTGTTACAGTCGTTCACCACCTTTGAGCCACCTCACTTGAAATTCCAGCTGGCAGGGTAATGTCTTAGCTAAACCCCTGCTATGACAATATTTCATTTTTCTATTCATAATAACTGACAACATTTTGAAAAATGCAAGATAATTTTTACCATTGATATTAGCATTAATCCAGACATAACAAATACAACTGTGACTTGGAGTAAAATCCATGGTATTGTGATCATGGTATTACAGCTCTTGAATCATATTCATATAATAAGTAGTGATTAACATGCGATAAAATCATCAAGCAAACAGGCAGTAAGAAAAATACTCTCATTTGCTAGGGATTAACTTGAGGGTTTTATGGAAATAATATTTAATTCTCCTTGATACTTCATAAGCAAATATATCATAGCTATATGGAAGAAATACAAATCAGAATTAAGGAACTATAGGTAAAGGCAATCAAGTACCCTTCTGTTACACCTGAAGATTGATGTTGCCTCTCAGCCCTCTGTTGGCCAACCTGTAGCATTGCTCTGTTGATATCGCACACTGTCACATGGGAATCAATCATTTCTGCTCCTTGCTTCCTTTTTTCTGATTTTTTGTTTACATGGTTTAGGAATCTGAATGCAATGTCACCTGTCAAATTTCCAAAAATAGTCCAAAAACTTATCAGATTATCACAGTAAACTGAATAATTGGTATGACTGCAATCTTCAGCTGTTTAGTGCATTAGACTATGTTGGTTTGAAGCTAACATTAGCTACCATTAGCTGAAAGCTGCAATCACAACTCACTTGTAAGTAATTGTCCAATACCAGGCTACTCTCTTATCCTACTCCTGGATCCAAACCATTTACTGTGAACCATATTTCTCTCCAATAACAACTTCATTTACCTGTTCCTCCAGCAACATCCAACAGCTTTGTTCCAACTGGAGGATTAAGTGTCCTGATAAACCTGTCCTTCCACAGTCTGTGTATCCCCAAGCTCATGGCATCATTCATTTTGTCATATGAACTAGCTACATTTTCAAACACCTTGTAAACTGATAAACAGAAATTTGAATTACAAGGTGTAGAAAGTGTTGACTACCTATTCAAATCATAAATTCTTGATAGTTGCACAAAATTTATTTATTTATTAAGTAACACTTGAAAAGACCTCTGTGTGTAGCTAGTCACCAGTAGTCCCAGGTCAGTCTACAGATTACAACGTAACCCAGCGTGAAGAGCCATTTTTAGCTGTGTGCAATACAACCAGAAGTCAAGAACTCAGATGTGTATGTGGCTATTTTTTTGCATCTTCAATGCTGTAATTCTAGCATCCATATTAAGCTCTTTAGGTTGAAGATCATGCATTCAGTTGCCAAGCTTGGAAAACTGGTCCCAGATTGAGAGGGACATGAGGGGTTCTGAATACCGCAACACCGCCAACAAAATATAACAAACACCGCTTCACCGCTAGAAATATCAATAAAAATCAGTCGCGTGGTCTTCTTGGCTCCAAAAAACAATTTAGTGGCATCTCATTTCGAAAGAAAAAAAAAATACGAGAACCTTAAAATGAAGCCAGACATCACGAAGAATATTTTTATAGAAGCTGGGTGATAGAAATTTCTTAACTCTCCACGGTAAACCTCAGACATTTGCCTTGAGGTAAAAGAATTCGTGCAGCATAAAAAATGGTGTCCTCTCACCTACCTTTCTGAGTTTTCTCTTGTTCTGATACTTCTTCGAAACCAAAATGCGTTATTTTCTCTTTTGTTTGATGATTTGAGTACAGACGATACTTTTTCCTGAACAACAGTGAACTGTTACTGCAAGAACAGCGTGGAATTGCCATTAGTAAAGACCCCGATTTTGAGCAAAATGTCGCCATGTTGGACAATAATCTGTCCCATAGTTCAATGCGAACCCAATGTTGTTTTCGTCTTCATCAGAAAAAGGGAAAGTAATCGGTGACACTATTTTTGACATTATTTTCTTTGCAAATTTCATGCAGATTTGAATTTGTTGCTTTTAATCGATTTGATAAAGGCTTTTTGTTTTCGGATGTGGTGTTTCGTGGTCATGGTTGCTGTTAGACCAAAATGGTGGTCTATAAAAAGTTTCCTCAAAATAGTTTTATTTTCCCGCGCGATCACAATTTCGTAAGACGCTTGAGGACGTATGTAAGCTTCTAAACGATGGCTATTAAAAAGCGAGGTAAGATTTCCTGCTTTCTGATATTGTGTTAATTGGATCAAATCGGTCTTTCGATAATATTGGGTCATGTTTGCCATGTTTTGATGTCGCAGACTTTCAGAAAACAGCGGGGCTTATTCAGGAGTTTCTTTCGAAACTTTCATGCGAGGAGTCAACAGCTGAACTTAGGGATTCTATGCATCTTGTCCTATTCTACTTGCAAAAATACTACAAAAAACTTCGTAGCAGAAGTCTTTCAAATGGTACTTCACCAAGATTTAATGGAAAATCACTAAGTGGAAGCTTGGTTTTGAATGGGGGAGTGAGCCCAGTGAGTCCAGCTTGTGGAATACCTGATCAATTCGAGTGGAAGTGGTACAATTTAGAATCACCCAGGCTATGTGCCAGCCTAGGTACAAATGAATTTTCCTCCTTGCCTCTCGTGCTGCAAGCTGCAAAATCCGCAGATTCAGAGCTTTTAAAGGAACTCATAGCGAAAGGTAAATATAGAGCTAATTGCTAATTGAATGCTTAACAAAAAATTATTTCGCCATTGTTTACCTTCGATGTAGAATAATGAAAACTTCGTGTTTACCTAGTACTTAACGAATACGAGTTTTATTTGAAATGTCCGAATTCTCAAATAATATTATCAAGAAATGAAAACATAATTCAAGTGCAGTAGTATTGTACAGTTCTTGGTCCCTGCCGTGTAATTCAGCTAATTTGTGGTTACAATGATCTGAGATATTCAGTTGATAAACTAGTCATATTGTTATGTATGACAGGTTGTCCTGACTACACAGTGTAGTAGAGCAGTTTTCAATGAAGTGTCAAAAGAAGCCAAGGATTACCATTTGGTTTTGCCTAACTTTGCTGTCTCTGTGGTTGACCCAAAAAACTTGTGCCTCTCAGACTATTCAGATACAAAACTTAACCAAGTGTAACTTGTCCACTAGTGTTTTTCCACACCTGCAGATGTTTGCTTAATTTCATAGAATATCTCATAGGCTTCTTGTGATGTTTCCCCTTGTCTTGAATGATTATTGACTTAACTATAGTCATGGCACTTTGGACCCATCCCAACCTATATTTTTTTTAAGACAATTTCATGGTCAACAATTTGGAACACTTTTTGCCTCACTCTATGGTCATATGGCTCCCTGTCAGATAACTCCTGCAATAATCAGACCATTCCATTAAAAAAAAAGTTAAAACTCAGATAGCTGTTAAAGGGAAGTAACTTTTCTCCAAAAAATGTGACCTTGCCTGATATTAAAACTACATCCAGCTGACTGCATATGCTACTTACTTAAAATATGTCACATTTTAGATTCCGAAGTCGTCAACCAAGTGGATGGCTTAGGACGTAATGCTGCTATGTACTGTGTCCATGGCAACACACCTGCCCATACAGAGTGCCTGGAAATACTGATAAGTGCTGAATGTGATCTGGATCTCAAGGCAAATGGTATAAGATAGACACTGAATAATTTTATTATAAAAAGTACTAAGCTGTAACTTTTACATGATATAAAATAATGCTTGAAGTGACCTAAGTACACACCAATGCTTAAAGGCCCAGTTCTAATCTTGATGCAACGGGGTCATTTGTTTTTGTTTTGAGCTGCCACTTTTGTTTAAATAGAACCTCTGATTGGTCAGTTATTTTTACCTTGCCATGTTGTGAATAAAGGTAAAGACAGACTGGCAAGGACTCCCTATGTGGCTTTGGTGGTCGTGTCATTATTGCCTTCAAATTGTATTTTTGCTCTCACAAGTGTGTCGCAAGGGATTTTCCCTATTTTGTAGAGATAATTGGATGTTACTGTAGTTTTTTAGTTATAAGCCACACTGTTTTTTCGATAAAAATGGCTATTTTGATCTAAAATTATTGTTCAACTTGACATGAGATGGATGTAGTTCCTTGTTTTGTCCATAAAAGGTGTACTGGAGGCGCTTTCATCTTGTGAACAGATCTCACAAGAGTTGGCCTATCTATACACCTGTTATATATTCATACTAAATTTTTAGTGTGATTTTTAGATTTTAGTGTAATTTTAAGTGTCCCCGCCTGATTAGTAGACCACTTGTGGTCAGCTAGAAGATTTGACGTGATAATAAAGATATACTGACTGACTGACTGACTTAACATATTGTTCAAAACTTTCCACTGTGAAGAGTACATGCAGTTTCCAATGACAAGTGGAGTATGGATTTACCATAAAATGATTAACTATATGTCCAGGATGGCTCTTGAAAAAGATGATTTTAGGAGGTTTTAAGTAATCAAGAAATTTTGTGTTGCAAAAAATAGGTTGCGGCACGCATTGCAGCAAGGTTGGAAATGGGCCTTAAATGGCTTTGAGTCCTCTTTTAACTTGTTTGCACATGAAAAGCATCTTTTCATCTAGAAGCATACTGTCTAGCAACCCTGTGACCTTACCACTTATTTTAGGTATTTTTCCCTTAATAGGAACTGGTAAGGGGTAAGGGGTGATTTCAATTAAATTAAATGTCTTCTTGGTCCTTCCTAAAGTTCAACATCAGAGTACCTTTCAATAAAAGAAGTGATGTTTCTATTTCTATTATTTTCTGTTGTACAGATAACACAACAGCACTTCATGTGGCTGCGTACATTAATAACACTGCTGCCTTGCCTCTCTTGCTTCGTAATAAGGTGACTTTGATATCCTTCTCACTGGTCTGCTTTAATGTTTTACCATTTCTATAAGACTTTTTGGTTCCCCAGTCCACTGCCCCATTGAAATGATCGTGCTCTGTGTTCTTCTTTGTATAGGCTCCTCATAATGTTGAAGACAATCAAGGAAGGACACCACTTCACTGGGCAGCAGCAAATCCATCAGAGGATAACTTAAAGGTAACATAAGAAAAACATTTATGTTAGTGAAATACAAATGTCTCACTCCTCCAGCACACCCAAGGTACTGGGTCCGGCTGCAGCTGAAAAAAAAACCCATGATATTTGTAGGCTTGAGGAGGTCAGAAACATTGTGTGTCCTCAATAGATAAATATTCTTCTCCTGGCCCAGGTTGACATGCTGAAAGGTGACATACTTAAGACCACAAAAGTGGCTACTGTAGACCAGGGTCACTTTGTTTTTGATATGGAAAATTAAAGTAAAGGCTTGACGGCACTGGAGGTATGACTTTTTATCTCCCTAAAAAAATTGAGCAGCTTCAAGAGGATCAACTACATATAGACCATGATATCTGTCAAAGGTTAAAATGATTTTTTTATCATTGGCTGCCAGTGGCAAAAAAGGTGATTTCAATGGTGAAGAGTTCATTCGAACCTCTGTCAAATTAATCAGTAACTGACTTTTATTTAAAAAGCAGAGTACCTGATCTTTGATTTGCAATAAAGTAAGATGTAACTATAAACAGGTAATTTCTAACAATGATCCATTTTTATTTCTTTACAGTTATTGCTTCAGGTTGGAGGGAAGTTAGATGCTACAGACAGCGAGGGTTTAACTCCAGCTATGTGGGCTTGTTATTTTGACCAGCTTCACAATCTCCAGATGTTACAGAATGCACTGGCAAGAATTGATCCTGAAGAAGATGCAATCCTTAGAGATAGTGACTGTTGTGGTCAGTCTGTGATACACTGGGCCGTCAAAGGGGTGGGATCTTTGGAGTGTCTTGAGGTTAGTAAAGGTGTCTGTGCTTGTGACCAAGACAGAGTTTCTCTTTACCCTATCAATACAATTTCAAGCAGACAATTAATGAGAATAAAGAAAAATATCAATTAGGGGATTGATAGTTGACCTAATACCAAATTCTCTAAACTTTCATTATAATAATTGTATAGCAGATAGTAAGGAAAATTTCTAATGAGATCTTGGGAGTGAAATGGTTAAATTGTTGACAAAATGTTAACATACTATCTCTTAAAAAGGATTGCTGTCTATAAAAATCTACAAATACAATCATTTCACATATTATGTGTTGCAGAGTACCACCAGTTTAGTTTTTATAGATACAAAACCCTCAGCCAGTACGTGACATCTGAAATAAGGAATCTGTAATTGTTCTCCAATTCACCACTCCACCTTTTTTTTGTCAAATCTCTAGGCTTTATTAACTCCTCAGTCTGCAGTTCTGAGGGACAATGAAGGCAAAACAGTGCTACACACAGCAGCTGAAAAAGGCAAGAACTAATATACCTGTTTGAGTCAACAATAACATGTAAAATGAATTAATTTTACATGAAGCTGGTGTTGTATGCTCTGATGAGTTAAATTTTGCTATCTTAATCAACCTATCATATTGATTTTTGTCATTTTGATAATAATTAACTAGATTGCGTCCATAAGTTGTAATTGCTGCATTCTTTGTAGTTAGGTGTAGTATTTCTAATTTTCCTGGCCCTTCCACACCTCACTCACATGACACAACCAAAAAAGCCTAGACAGTGAATCTGTTTGGGCATCTTTAATGAGAAAATGAGGAGCCACTGAGGGCTTGAGGACCCCCCTGGCGTGGGGAGGAGAGCAAAGAAACAACTAAAAAGATCAAAGGAACAAAATGAGTGATCAAATGTCAACCTCTAGCCAGGTGTAGCATGTAGGCCTGGTGCTTATTAATTGATTCCCCTTGGAATATGAACGATGATTTTATTTTAAAAAATTCTGAATGGGAAACTTGAATTAAAAAGCCCGGTGGTTTTCTTTTACAGCCTGCCTTATCACTAAATAATAGCTTAATGATCAATGGCAATTAGATAGATATTAATGATCAGAATTAGATTTTGATAAGGAAAGTGTTGATCTATTTGGTATCATGGTTAATGATACAAGTTTTAACCTTTCAGGCAACTACAAACCTACTATCTAATTCTTTACTATTTTCAGCATGCTGACTTATGTAATGATGTTCTGTTCAATAATTATTTGATAAATAAAAATTGTTTATCACTGCTTGGCAGGGATTGCAGCTGCTTGTGAGATGATTCTAGAGGTGAGAGGAAACTTGGAAGGACTTAAGGATACTGATGACTCAAAAAGAACTGCAGCTCACCTTGCTGCCATCTGTGGACAAGCAGAAGTTGTGAACTTTCTTCTTGAAAGAGGAGGTATAAGGAAATCAGTAGGACTGTCATTTGTCATCATATTTACCATCACTCATCTAGGGCTTATACTATTTTGCGAAATGAAACGAAACGAAATTGTACTATTTTGCGAAACGAAACGAAATTTTGCGAAATGGCGCTTTTTTGCCTTTATTTAGCAAATGTGTCCTCTTCGTCCAAAACAAAATGTGTCCACTAATAAAATGATCAATATTTCTAAGAGCCTGGTCACCCCTCATTTTATTGACCATAATAGAACTCGTTTCGCAAAGTAGTAATTTTGACAGAATTACTATTTTGCAAAATGGCGTTTAAAG